CTACACAGTCACAAGTAAGCTAGGTTTATCCTACGAACCTTTTGCTATTCTTCAGTTCTCTACATCTGCACAGCTGTGCTTTTTTTCCCCTCAGTGAAGGAAAGGCAACAGGGGAACAGGTAGAATTAGTCAGAAGATCAAAAGGTGGGCTTTAAGGGCAAACACTACTGTGACTCAAACTTAATACAAAAAAGCAACAAAAAGAGTATTCTGGAGTTTGTCCCAACTTTGTTATCTTGTCAAAAACAGTTCCATAGTACAAATTCTCTGAACAAAAAAACATTGGATAAGGTCTTGCTCCCCTGCTCTCCCCCTCTGCATGAGGAAAGACAGCTTGAACGGTAAACTCTAACAGAACAATTCAGTGCTTCATTAACAGGTTTTGCGATGGTCTGGAGGAGAAACAAGCGCGCTGCTAAAACCCAAAGATATTGAGAAACGCTTTTGGCCAAAAGAGAATAAATGAAAATTACTATCTTCAGAGGCCTTAAATTAATCTTCAGGTGCCAGATAGCATACTTTACACTACCTGTTTACAGCAAATTTAGCAAATAACAGGACCTCACCATGGACGAAGTAGTTCCAGGGCTTCAGAGAACTTATTGTTTAAAAATAAGTTCAGTGCCATTGAACATTCTTCCAGAGCACATTTGAGATCCATCTTGGATGCCCTAAAAAAAGATTCTTAGTTTAGTCAAACTGTAAATATAAACATAAAATTCAAAGATTTTTTTTTCCTTAGATTACACAGAAGGTCTTTTATAGCAATTTTATTACTTGTTTTTAAAATCTACCTTGACAAAAACAAGTCATATGCTTAACACTTTAACCATGCTACATGAGTGTGCCCCCTTTGCTTATTTAAGTGATGTTTACGGCTTTGTCCTCCTTCTCGTACCAGTCAATATGCAACGGAGTCATTTTTACTGCTACTTATATAACACAAATACTCAAAACTTATCACTGTGTCCAAGCTCTCAATTCTCTGTATCAATACAAATGCAGTTTCAGACTCTCTATTCAGATCTAAATCTCAATAGAGATGACAAATAATACTTTCGTCCAAGAAAGCAGTAAACAGACACTCACCCTGCAAACAGCTATGCCAAAACCAGTCCTATCAGAAGCCTGCAACTATGCCAAAACCTTTTGTTCTTCCTAATTTACTTCAAGTAAAATCACTTGCACTTGCTTAAGAGAAAGCCAACTAATAAAACTGCAACTTCGGCCAGTTTTGTCTGAAGGAGTTGGGAGCACTCACAAACTGCTCCATGAGCAGAACTGGTGAGAATCTGGACATTCATAGTAGTCACGAATAGCTAGAAGCTACACAGCCTTCAATGTGCACAGCTGGATCAGGAAAAGATAATCTGTCTACAGGTTCTATAACGGGCTTTATTCAAGTAAGGTTAAGCAGTGGTAAGCAAAAGATCATGTCAATGAGATGAATATTTAAGTCCTGAACAGAAAGAACCACCTTGAAGGAGGAATTTAAGAAGAGAAACTACAGAGGAGTGCAGCTGCTTTAAATCTGACAGTAACATATATACAAAAAAAAACAAACCAAGAGGAACATGAAAATATGATCGGACAGGTTTTTACACAGATCATCAATTCCCCTTACCCTCCTCCTCGCTCCATAACCCAAAAGCTTTAAAACCATTGGCTCTTTTTTTTTTTTTTTCCACTCTTTCTGGGGCAGAAAATTGGGATAAGGCTAGATTACATCCCAAAACTCTTTTTCAGTGTTATTTTCTGTCATTTTTTAGTGGTAGTACTTGAAAAATTCACCTTCTGTAGAAAACCAAAATCTCTGACTCAATACTTGGCAACTACTAGATATTTATTATTGAACATACCAAGAGGTAAATCTTGCCCTTCGAAATGAAGTAGTGAATTGCCCAACAGTCAAAATCTGGCAGTTTTACCATCAGATTGTTACCAATAATTTAAATATAATTTAAATACCTTTATTTTCTCCCATACTGGGGTTCAACTTGATTATTATGTACACGATTTTAAGATTTACGTAACTTTACATAGCAAAACCCAACACTTCCTAAAAGCTGAAGCATTTGCAGCTGTGCTTCAACTGTTACTGTCACTAAGCTTTCACATCCTTTGGCTGTGCACACACTCCAGGAAAGGTCATATTCTCAATGCAACCTGCAGCTCTGAACTCCAGCTGTCCCAACAAAAGTATCACTGTCACACCAGCAGAGAAGGGGCACCATGGTGAGGCACTCAACCAGAACAAGTTGTCCTGTTTTGGCTAAAACAGGACCATTTCACCTTTCAGTAGATTTTCCTTCAGTTAAGTTTTTCTTAAGTAACTGCACTTTCTGAAGCTGACTGCAGGTTTGAGGCAGTGCCTGCTGTCAGAGTTGATGGCGGTTGATGTCTGTAGCTGTTGCTGGGGCAGAAGCGGGATTGTTACGCAGAAAGGCCCATGGATGTGTGTGTGTTCCCTTCGAGCTCTCTTGGGCTCTGCGTGGGGAGAGGTGGAAAAGCATCGCACCTGCAGGAAGCTGTGGAGGGAGACCACGGACTGACCAATGAGGTATTCCATCCCGCCCACGTGGATACTCGGTATAAAGCTCAGGGATGACGGGGGTCAACCCTCTTTCCTTCATGGCCAGCATGCTGGTGGGATTCTGCTCACTCCCCTACCTCCAACCCCGATCTATGCATTCCTGAATCTGGTTCCCATCTGCTGGGGAGTCCAGTCCGGGACATCCAGCTGCTCGCCCTGCCGCGTGAGCACTTCGAGCCACCATGGCACTTGATGCCATCATCATCGGGAAGATCAGTATCGGTTTTGTATATTTCTGTTTCCATTATTAGCAGTATTAGCTTTAATATTATTTATACTATTTTTCACTGTTATTGCTTTATTAAAGTTTGTTTTAACTTTCCAAACCATCAGTCTCGCTCCCTTTTCCCCTCTCCTTTCCCTTTCTGGGAAAGGAAGGGGTTAATAGAGAGCATCTGCCACATGCTTTAAGCGCAACCCAGCATTACAGCAACACAAGTCTTCCCAGCAAGGCGGCCGCCTCTTGCCATGTGCACAAGGTTCCGGCCAGCCCATCACACCCCAGGTTTCATCCCAACGTCCAGTCCTAGGTGAAGGCCTGGGGAATGAGCGCTGCAACACAGCCAACATTTGCCCTACTGTATAGGGTATAGGTACAGATACCAAAGTCCTTACGAGCCTGTACTGATCAGTACTGTACAGGTACGGGACAGCAAATCTACTACATTTGTGTTCTCTTCATTGTTGGCTGATGTCGCCAGTGACATACTGTCCCACTGCCACTATCAGTTTATGTTCTCTCACTTAAAAACCCTTAAGGTAGATATCTAAATTGCCTTTCAATTTTCTTAAAAGTATTTCAGGGAAGTTACTGTACAGCAAGTTTACTTAGGTCTATGTATAAATACATAAGCCACAATAACAAGTAAGAATCCTTCAGCTGAAGCAATAGCAGTATCTTTTCTCCTGCTGCAGGCAGACAAAAAAAAGTCACCATTTTGTTGTTGTTTATATAACACTCTTCATATCCTAGACTGCATTGGAAAATATAGAACATAAAGGTACATTTTATAATTCAGACTACACTGGCTAATCTTACTTAACCTGTTATCCAGACATTCAGTTTTTACAAGGCAGTTCCATGAATTACAGGAATATATCATGCTCTTTTATGTTTATTTAGAAAGCTTTACCTTGTGTATTTAAATATAAACACACTGGTTTTATTACAAACCTTAGCTTTGAGACTGGTTTAACCAAAGTGTTACAACTGAACTATAAAAAAAGTGAGGTTTGTGGGTTCATTGTTTCTTTTTTTTTTCTTAAAGTCCTAAATATTTTGGTATATAAGCCTGCATGGTTCATCTTTGCAAGATAGTTGATAATCAAGGCTACTCAATGACATTAGTATATCTGAGTAAATTAATAGGCTTATTTTTCAAGTTCCCCTCACCACACATACTATGTCAAACGTTTCTGAAACACACCTCTCAATGAAAAACTGAGGGGAAAAAAAAAATAGTAGTAGCATTGTTCCAAGGTGGTTACAAAACAAGACATCATTTTCACTATGAATTCAACAAGATCATGCACAATTTTTGGTTTTCCCTTTTAATACAGTTTGCTTAATCTATTCAATTTTTCACTTTCTCCTCTGACTCTCAAGTACCCCAATTAATTCTTTCCATTTGGCTCCTCCTTGATAAGGGGAAAAGGAAAGTGGTGTATCAACCAAATGAATTTTTATTAGAAAGCAGAAATTTGCTGTAGGTCACATAGGGTTAAGAACTTTCTTCTTCACATTTCAGTGGACACAGCTTCTTATCTTTATGATGCTACTTGCACTGAAATTAACAGGGGACTTCGCACTTCTCAGATGTAACTCGAACAAGCTTTGAAAAATTAGAACATCAGACATTAAATTGTAAATGCAAATAATCATTTCATGTTCACATCTTGCATAGATTTACAGGCCAAAATGCAAATTGCCTTACAATTCTAATACAAAGAGACCTTCCACCACCCATTCCTGAAAAATTAACCTACAGACCAAGAAAACCATGTAGGAAACACACAGATGCAAATTCACAGCTTCTATACTTAACTTTAGTGAAAAAAAACCCAGCAAACAACATATCAAGGCAAACCACAAACTCATTTTGTATTTTGCACATTCTAGCTTCGAAATACAGAAAACAAAATAACCTGGCTGAACATTTAGTTTGGATATCTACCAAAGCCTCAGCTTTGGCATCTCTTCGTACCCAGCCTCGATCAAGAGAACCACAGACTCTAGATTACAGACCATCCCACCTATTTGGCAAAAGAATGGATTTAGCACTTCACATGAAATCTGCTCAACTGGTTAACGGTTTCCTATTAACAACAATCATCAGAAATAAGTATGCTTATGATCCTACACTTCTTACTCAGTGAAGCAGAATTAAAATGTTTTTCAAAACAAATATGAAGAAAGCAATTGTATTTTAGTGCTTTCAGACTCTCAATATGTAAATAAAGCTGTCCAAATTAAAATTATTTATAGAAGCAGTAGAGAAATGTATGCCTTTATATGTCCTCTTCAAATGTCTTAAATAGGATGCCCTCTAAAGAACACTGTTAAGAAACAAAACAAACAGACTCATTTATAATGACTGAAAGTTTTGTAAAACACTCACTTTCATTAGTTAATTCCATGAATACCATCTGCTAACAATTTTCAAAGAACTAATTTTTAGCTAGATTTAGAGGCTGGGTTTTTTTCCTGGTACACAAGCAAGGACCTGAGTTAGTGCCTCAATAACATGTCATCAACACCACTGTGTTCCCATGCTTCTATATCCTCATTTCACATTTGCTTTTTAGGAAATTACATTTTACTCAGTCCATGCCAGGTTAGATTACACATTCCATTTGCTCTGCCTTTCCCACTAGGAAAAATGGTGAGTTGCTTTCAAATAATTTCTCAAGAAGGAGGTGGGCAAAAAGTGGGGGGAGAATTTTCTTTTCTAAATACCAGACTTGTAGTGATCGTCTTAAAAAGAAAATATCCAGTAATCAAAGTTGAGATCTCCTAGATGCCAAGAATGAGTTTTTACTCTCTCATACTTGCACACCACAAGTATTTTGTG